ACTTGTTCAATCAAATTGTCAAACTGTCCTCACAGTCCTCACTGTCAAGTTATGAGCTCCATCTGTATCAACTTTTCAAACCACAGTTCAGGAAGGTTTGGACTTTCAAATCTGATCAGTGCAGAAGCTGGAGGTTAAAACTTTGTAATACTTGAATGACAAAAAAGTGGACTCTTTTCAACTGTAAAGAAGTATTCCTGTGAAACCTGTTATTCCAGTGTGAAAATCCTTACTAGACCTGGTGTCACAATAGTCCTGTGACACCACCCAGCGCACCATAAACTCAAACCCTCAAGTCCATCACTAGTGTGTGTGAAGGAGAGAGTGATGAGAATAGGGAGTGAGGGGATGGGGGGTGCAGTGGCCTAGAGTTTGGCTGACCAAGAGTTCTGCTCCGGCGAGAAACTACACCACCCATTTACACATAGGTACTATAGTGTCGTTTTCTCTACTCAGACGCATCAAGAGGAAAATGAGTTCTGGCAGAATCCCCTTCTTAGGGGCATCAAGAAGTGACCGAAGACACCTTCACATGATCCGAACGTGACCCACACATCTCGTTCGCCAAAATGTTAGCTTTACTTGTAAAATGAAAAACTCCCTTTAGAAATAGTCCACGAATTTTTTGCAAGAACCACACTACGTTCCGATATTCCCAGAATCGGATGAATACTCCAGGCTGGAAGTGATCCATCACAATGGAAGTCACTTCATGAACGGTTTTAGCCATCCTCAGTCCTGAATTTATTCAACTGGATTTCAGGAATTATTCTCAAAAGATCACTCGCAATGTACGATGCGTTCACATTTTTGGGGGAGAAAAAAGTGTTTCGCATCATTATTACGTTTAGAGGTGTTACATCATGTCTTCATTTATGCATGGGATATTGGCAAGTTAAGGTAGGAGCTCAGACAACTTATAGGTCTCATGGAACGCCAGCTTCAACAATATGAGACCTTCCCCAGTCCTTGAGTGAGAGTGGTTGTTCATGCATGCTTTTTCAATGAAATGTAAATTTCAGGCTTTCTCAGTTGTACGTACTTAATGTGCGACTGCAGCAAGAGATGAGTATGGAAGATATTTTCGAGCACTAAAAAGAACCAGAAATTACAAAAAATTACGAAGATGGTTAACTTGCTTTCATTGCACTGTCAGAGAAGATTATATTTTAAAAATTCAAATGAACACGGCACAAAGGAGCCATATAATGAAAACATCAAACCATTTGTACGTTTCACTTACAAAATACAGTACTGTACAGCAATAAGGGCGAATTACGAAGAAACAGAGAACTGATAGGGTTTTTCTCAAAGACCTAAGAAAGTACAGAACAGAAGTTCTGGAAAGTGGGAAGTTTTTCTTTATGCAGATTCATTTCAGATTGTTTGTTCAATAAAAAAGGTGATGAGGAATAAATCAAACCAAGAATGTTTATCATCACAAAAACGTCATTCAAAAGTTTCACATAGCTTCAGACTCCTGCTTCACGGCTACGGGAAGAGCCTTTACAGAAGCATTATCGACTGCCTCCTGCAACATGTGCGCTCTTCTTTTGGTATAATGCTGCCAATGCAGAAGCTGCTGCTCTTCGATGAACTTGGCGCAATGAGTGTTGACCAGCTCTTTCCGGAAAGATTCGTACTGCAGGAGGGTCAGGAAATGAAGACACATGGGATATTTCAAGAACTTCGCATATTCAGGTTCCTTCCAATACTGGAGATACTTCAAATAGTTGATGAAGGCAGGATCTTTGAAATAATTTCTCTGGGCGAGGAAATTCAAGTAGTTGGGGTTAGCCAGGCATTGCACAAACTCCAACTCAATCTGGAACCGTAGTCTTTGCTGCTGGTCATCTGTGTCGCGCGTAGCCATGCACTTATTCACAAGTTCACAAAATAATCCTTCCTGAAATTCGGATATTACACGAAAAACCCTGTTTTCAGCAGTTCCAATACATCACGGAAGAATCAATGAAGCAACCAAATCAACGAAATGACTCGTGCGCTGTAGCACGGCTGGATAGAAAGGGATGAAAACTCAACAATCTTCGTGTCAACCACTGGAGTTAACAACCAAATCAAAGTAGTGGCGTTAGGTTGGAAAATGTAACATAACGTCCGGTCACCAAAGCCGACCGCTCCCCGGATTTGGGCAGCCTACGGAAAAACTGCCTCGTTTCTGAAGGCGCTGCCATGATTTACCGCTGGTGCCCTCTAACGTTCAAAGTTTTCAAGTGGGAGAGCTGACCAGTACTCTTCCCAACGCTCACTTGCAATGGCGTGGAGTTTTGCTGGCGTGAATCTCTGCTCCGGCGAGAAACTACACGACCCTTGCTAGCCCAGCGATGCTGAGAGACGAAGTTTATACTGTAGTGTATATGTATACGGTTATATTCAATATTCCGTTTGAATGACAAAAGTTAAATGAAAACTATTGAGATCAAGCGAACAGCATAGGCAAGCTTCATTTCTAATCACGAAAGCTGGATCTTTGCAATGGGTACGTACGATGCACGCGTAATGCGTATGTTGCTGGACTCATTGTTTGAGCCAGGTTTTTCGCATATATACTGTACCTGATATACAGTATATATGACTCCATCATTTCGAAACACTTTGCTGATGCATTTAAAAACTCACACATGAAAAAATTGGCATATACAGTACAGTATATGCATTCCGGCACGATTGTTTTCTCACATTTTCTCGACTGATCCTGATGAGGGCCAACATTCCTCCGAATATTTCGCGAAAAAATCCGAATATGAAAGTTTCCCATCAGCAGTCGTTGACTTCGAATTCCCACAGCATATTTCCAGGATCATATCTGAAGGTAACCGTTTTTTGTGCAACTGCCTACGCCGATCCTTGCTTTCTTCGTTGTCCAGGATAATAACGTGGCAATTTTCGCAAAGGAGCTTCCCGTGCAATGGGAAGCAATCTTGGTCATTCTCTGACAGCTGAACACCACATCCCTGATGGGTAAATGTATAGCATATGCTATGCATAAATTTTTCTTGAGCTATATCTATGATCAACATGAATTTACTTGTATAAACAATCGCAGAAAAACCAACTCATTTTATTTAAAGTAGCGCTGCTTTTTTATACTCTCCGATGTAAGCTGAATTAATGGAATAGCCATAATACATGATTCTTCAAAGATACATAATTTAGAATCACTACAAGATAAATTTCTAACGCTGTCTGTGTATTCACACGAAATTGGGGGTTTCTTATAGTGCTTGAGATGATTTTCTGCATATGCCGGGGAGTCTTACAGCACTAAATCAGAGATTTACTAAAATGAATGATGTTCTGTGTGATCTCAATCAGTCTTGGGTTTGCGCGTACTTTTTTGGGAGGAAAAAAGCGCCGTTGCTGATTCCACATTAACTGATGATGGATAATGTGGACATTGCTGTAAAAGTGTGTGCAGTACTGCATCTTATAGGTATCATGCACAATTCACAAACGATTTCATGAAATTTAAATTGGATGTCTCATCAAAATGTTAACACTATCAAAAGTTTCGTTTTGCTTTTCAATATCAGATTTCCCCTCAAATGAATCAGTTGTGCATTGCTGACAAAACGCAATGATCGAGTTCTGGAATACATGTACAGTACTGCATGTATATAGATATTGTTGGTAGACATTTATTCTCAGAGCAGCAATGATCCTTTTCATCTTTCAAAAGTTCCTAATGTACGTAATTTTACCTAACTTCAGTTTCGATACGATAATCTTTCGCTCTCTGAATGTGTGTTTTTTTTTAAATAATTTCCTTCATCCATATAATATTAACGTGAATTATTCAGCTTACTTATCATGCTCAAGAACATTCCTTTTGAGTCCGTTTTTTTTTAGAGCAACAATTAGAATTTTCTCAATTTGAGCCAAAATATAGTAAGTTGAAAATCTCCGTGATTAAAATATCCAAATACTGTAATTCAATGTCGATTTTCTCAAGCCCAATGAAATTTAAACCTCCAGAAATTGAAAAAGGTTAGTTCAAACCTACCTATAGTCAAATTTGAAAGGCACAATTTTCATTTTTAAATTATGGCTGAATTTTAGAACACCTGATCCAGAAAACGAAACTAAAAAGCATATGCCAAATACGTTATGCTCTCCGCATGGGATAAGGCAACAAATGCATCTTTATAGGTAGGGCATCTATTAATAAATAATAATTTTGAATTTGCTTGAAAATAATTCCAATTGATTATCCTATACCAGCTAACGGAAAAACTCTAGCTCCACTTCGGAATTTTAGAGTTCCTTCAAATTCTACCCATAGAGAGTTTTAACTACTGCATGTATTGTTGATTTTTTTATCATACAGTATTAGCATTTCAATTGAATATTTTTGTCATGAAAATACTGAGCTTTCCAGGCTAATGCCTGCATGAATACAGTGCTGCACTATATATATATATATATATATATATATATATATATATATATACTTGGTCATATTCCAAAGCTTCTCATTTACGCACGTACTTTTCTTCTGCGTAAGTGTTACACGACGTTCGTTGACCGTCATATTATACCTCGCATTTGAAGCATTTTCCGTGGTAGGTTTTTTCCAGAACAGTAATTCGCTTGGTAGTTCTTTCAGTCGCGGAAGCAGCAGCAGGCAAGCCACACGATCCACACCGAGGTGCATATCGCCTGTTGTAATCCTGAGACGAAAATAAGAGGATCACAGGATCATCGTTGACCAGGATATGAGCTGGAACATCGATCACTACCTCGGCGCAAAAGATCCTCTCGCCCATTGATTTGAACCCCGCTGAGACGAGCGATGCGTTGCATATGTCGCAGTTGAAGCATTCCGGGTGGAAAGTTAAGGGCGAATCTTTCGTTTTGATCATCCCTCCGAGAACGTACTTTCTGCACTTGTTGCACACACTGACTTTTGTCTGAAAGGATTTTTTTTTAATGGGGGCATTTTCGAAAAATGGACATCATTCCGACGCGATGATATGAAATCTCACGTACCTCGTAACAAGTTTTGCAAAACGGTTTCCCCTCTAAATCGTAGAATGTCTTGAAATCCAGGGAGCCGTCTGCGTGAAAAACGAACCATAGAGTGGACAATTAACTCATATTCTTCAAGGTTTTGATAACAGCTGAAGAAATAAAGGCAAAAAAGGGAAGAGCTTCTTCAATCCTGCGATATATGCTAGCAGCATTGGAAAAATTAATCAGTTATTCGTGTCCGTTTCATCGATCGACCTCATCTTTTTCACGTGACGGTGAAGCCGTGACAAGTTCTACTCACATCAAAGATTAATTCAAGAAGTTGTAACGAAAGATTTGCGGCGAAAGTATTTGAAATTGAAAATGAAAGACTTAACGTGGAGTTCTTGGAAATACTGACAAAACGTGCGCGACACGAAAATACGATTTTCCCGGAAAATATTTTAATTTTGTTGTCCTTATTATTGCAATCTAAGGTTTTACACACAAGGGTTACTAACTACAGATTACAAAAGGACTGAGTCACTTGTGTGGCTTCAAGTACTTTTTATTCCTTTCCAG